ATAGATAGATGATAGATAGATAGATAGATAGATAGATAGATTGATTTGGGTGGATGGATGGATGGATGGATGGGGGGCAGTCAGGCAGGCAGATGATGGCTAGGTAAACACAATGAGGAGAGAGATACAGATAGATGGATAGATAGATAATTAGATTGATGATGATAGATAGATAGATAGATAGATAGATAGATGATAGATAGGAGAGATACAGATATAGTTAGAGAGAGATACAGATAGAGAGAAAGCACAAAGAGAGATAGAGAGGAAGAAAGAGAAAGATAGATAGATAGATAGATAGATAGATAGATAGATAGATAGATAGATAGATAGAGATTGTGTTTCATTTCTATCTCCATATTACACTCAACCGACCAAGGTATCCACCAAAAGGTGAAGGACTTTGCCAACGGTATTGTCCACGTATCTCAAGGAACGTGGAAGACTTCCACCAAACCCTTCGGAGTCCTCTCACGGCCTCTGGCAGCCATTATTTTTCACCACATCCAGGGCCACATCCAAGATGTTCCAAGCCATAGCATCGTGCTCCCACAAAAATGTTGCATTTCCTCCCCCAAAAACTCGTGATTGTCCCTTGTTCCGTAGAAGACAGTGAAGCGACGATGGCCACCAGTCTCTCAAGCGATGGCCTGCTTCGTTGAAACGCCACCAGTTCTGTCTGGAACAAGGACATCAGAAAGACCTCAGAAGAAGTCCCCTTCTGATGACGAGGATGTCCCATGGGTGGGGTGGATCCGGGTTGAAACCCTCCCTTCCATTTCCCCCTCCCCCCTCCACCAACATCAGTTGCAGTCAGGAGCCCCCCCCTCCCCCATCCGCCAGAGAGCTATCACGAGAGAGGAAACACCACAAACCTGGGTAACATCTGAAGCCACTTAAGTCTCAGCACCCCTTCCCGAAGCCAAGATGAAGCCGTGCCAGGGTCCTTTGAGTGCAAGCCAGCTTCCTCCCCGCCTCCTTGCCCTTTAGCCTTGAGAAAGAAACCATGCGGTTGACGGGCGCACCCAACGCAGCATTCCAGAAACCAACGGAGTCCATGCCTCCTCCTGCCTTCCCTGGGAACATCTCCAGAACTTAGGGACCAGGCCAAGCGTGGTCTGCCTTGCAGGGTTTGGCGGGGGAAGAGAAGAATTAACACAACAGCGGCGTTGTGTCGTTTCTCAAGGATGTGCTGACAGTTTTGTTTCTCCCTCCCCTTCTCCCTTCCTTTGTTCTCTTCCCTCCTACCTCCCCGATTTCTTCCTCGGTGCCCCCTTTTTCTCCTCCCCACCCTAAAACCCCTCCATCCCTCCCTTCCGTACCCCCCAGGGTTAATCAGTTGTAGGAGCCAGGCGGTCCAAGAAAACCCCAGTTCCAACATGGGGCTGGAGGCCATTATCAGAAAGGCTCTCATGGGTAAATATGACCATCGGTGGGACGAGCCCGCTCCTCTCAGTGCCAATGCTTTTAACCCTTTGAATGCCAGCCCGAGCTTGCCCGCTGTTTTGCCTGTAACCTCTGCTGAAGGACAGATTGAGGAGATGCATTCTTCCATGCCAGGTCGGCTCGGTTGCGTTGACGTGATTAATCCTCTCTCTTTTCTCCCTTCCTTCCTTTCCTTTCCTTCCTGTCTTCTCGTGTGTGTGTGTTTTGTGTGTGGGTGTGTTGTGTCTGTGTTCGTGTTGTTTTAACGACACCGATTAATGCCCCTCTGGGTTGGGTTAGTCTCTGTTGGGTGTACATGAGTGCTTAAGAAATGTAACCCTTTCTCTGGCTTCCCGTAAACCACTGACCATTGGGCTGTCTCCCTTTTTTTTCCGTCCTCATTTTTCCCCCCCTCGTTGACCCCTCCGTGTCCATGTTATCCAGATGAATAGAATATAGAATAACAAAGAGTTGGAAGGGACCTTGTAGGTCATCTAGTCCAACTTGCTACCCAAGCAGGAGACCCTATAACGGTGATGGCAAACCTATGGCACGCGTGCCATTTGGGTGGGCATGCGAGCCCCAGCCAAAGTTACCTGCACTGTGCATGCACGCGCCTCCCGGCTGATTTTCAGCCTGCTTGAGGCCATTTTCGCCCTGCCAGAGGCTTGAGGGAAGCCTCTGCAGCCTCGGGAGGCCGAAAAACGGGCCTTCCGGAAATACCAGAAGTGCCGAAACGGGCCTGTTTTCGCCCTCCCAGAGACTTGAGGGAAGCCTCTGCAGCCTCGGGAGGCCGAAAAACGGGCCTTCCAGAAATACCGGAAGTGCCGAAACGGGCCTGTTTTCAGCCTCCCAAGGCTCCAGAGGCTTCTCCCGAGCCTCCAGAAGGGTGAAAACGGCCTCCCCCGGACTCCAGAGGCCCTCCGGAGGCTGAAAACAGGCACTTCCGGTATTTCCAGAAGGCCTGTTTTTCGGCCTCCTGAGGCTGCAGAAGCCTCCCTCGAGCCTCAGGGAGAGCGAAAATGACCTCAAACAGGCCAAAAATCAGCTGGGAGGTGCACGCATGCGCAGATAAGGTGACGGGTGTTGCGCACACATGTACGGGGTGGGGCGCATTGCATTGTGGGTGCTGGCAGGCACGTGCTTTTGGCACACCACCACAAAAAGGTTCGCCATCACTGCCCTGTACCATTTGTAACAGAGGGCAGTCCAATCTCTTTGACTTGGTGGTTAGAAGTGTTGGGGAGTCGGGGCAGTACGCTGGGGTTCACACTCTCAGGCAGCCTCAGGATTGGGGACAGAAATGCCACCCCCCCTTGGTCACGGAGGGTAAAGGGTACAGATAGTCCTTGACTCACAACCGTTCGAAGTTGCAATGGAACTGAAAAATGGGACTTAGGACCGTTTTTCACACTTAGAGACCGTTGCGGAGTCACTCCATGGTCATGTGATCAGAATTTGGACACTTGGCAACTGGCGTGTACTAACGACGGTTGCATTCTCCCGGGGGTCACGCGATCTCCTTTTGCGATCTCCTGGCAAGGAAAAGTCCACGCTTCTGGAAGTCTGATTCGTTTAACAACCGCGTTGCTAACTGAACAAATACTGCCGTGGTCCACTTAACAACTGTGGCAAGGAAGGTTGTAAAACGGGGCAAAATTCACCACTGTCTCACTTAGCAACGGGAATTGGGCTCAGTTGTGGTCGTAAGTCAAGGACTACATGTACTTCTCTCTCACTTCACAACAATGGCAAAAAGAAAAGACCCCACTTACACACACACACACAAACACACACACACACACACACACACACACATATAAACCTACTCCTGTGATCCTTGGCAAACTTTGGAGTTAATACAGTAGTCCTCGACTTATAACAGTTCATTTAGCAACCATTCAAAGTTACCACAGCACTGAAAAATAGGACTTACTGCCATGTTTCACGTGGTGCATTTCCCATGATCCAAATTCAGGCGCTTGGCAATGGGTTCCTATTTATGACTGTTGCTGTGTCCCTGGGGCCACGTGGTCCCCTTTTGAGACCTTCTGACAAGTCCACGGGGAAGCCAGATTCTCTTAACGACCAGGTGACTAGCTTACCAATGGCAGCAGTCCACTTAACAACAACAGCGTAGAAAGGTTGTAAAGCAGGGCAAAACTCAACAAATGTCTCGGTTAACAACAGAAATGTTGGGCTCGCTTGTGGTTGTGAGTCAAGGACTACCTGTCATAGGGGTGAAACAGGGGGAGGTGTTTCTATTGTTTCTCAACCCTTTCTCTCTCTCTCTCTCTCCCTCTCTCTCTCTCTCTCTCTTTCTTTCTTTTTCTCTCTTTTCCTGCTACTCGCTAAGCCTCGGTGTTCCATTGTTTATCATGTCCCTGGGAAGATGCGTTGGGAGGGCACCAAACCTTTCCACTGGTTTGACGTAGTACAGGGGTGTCAAACTCGATTTCATTGAGGGTCACATCAGGGTTGTGTTTGACCTCGGGGGGGGGGGCGTGGCCCACTCGACGTCACTCGTGCCGGGGGGGGGGCACGCCTTTGGTGGCTTAAGCACATGGCCAGCGAAAACGGGCTCCTGAACTCCGTTTCCGGCTGCGACTGTGTCCTGAAACCCTCTGCCAGCGAAAACGGAGCTCCGGAGGACTGCGGACCGGTCCGTCACTATTTCCCTAGCGGCCCCGCAGGCCAGATCTAAGCCTACCATGGGCCGGATGTGGCCACCAGGCCTTGAGTTTGACACCCCTGACGTAGCATTGGCTTTCTCCTGGGAGTTTGAAAAACATTTTCTTTTTTCCCCCACAGGAGGGGGGAAACCAAAGGCTGCCGCCCGCGCTAACAGTCGGAAGGCCAGATCTCCAGCACCCGGCCTGTCCTCCACCATTGAGAGGCCGCCATCCGCTTCGTCCGTTCACTCCGACGGGGACTGTAACAGGAGGACACCTCTAACCAACCGGGTTTGGGAGGACAGGCCATCATCCACAGGTATTAGCACATCCTTTGACCTCAGGTTTGCAGTTCCCAGGAGTGTCAGGTGCAGAGATTCAGGCACCACCAGTTAGATTGTGGCTGTCAGGATTCCAGCAGTGACCCCCATTTAAATCATGAATCTCGAGTCAAACTTCCAAAACTTCAAAAGGATTTATTGGGAATTAACATGCCGGCACTGCCTGGGTGGAGCCGACTCTGAGGCACTTAATTCACTGTCACCCTTGACCCTGGTTTCCCCCCCACCCCCTGGGTGTATCGTAATTCATATTCTCCAGTGGGACACATCCATAGCCAAGAGTCATCAATCATGTTCTCCAGTTAGAATTTTGCCTGGCAAAAACTTCAGTCACCTAGTTACTATCTTTGAAAACTATTTATGGAATGCACTTTCGATTTCCAAGCTGCCACACTGTGCTTTCAAACCTCTTTCCCTCCTCCCTTTCTGTTGGCAACTCTAAAAAAGACCATAGAAATATTTTTTGAGTTGACAGTGGCATGTTCAAGCCCATACACAAGAATCTGGTCCAACTAAAGTTCAACGCTAAATTGGCACTCGATAAGGATCAATGAGATTCTGGAAGGGTTGGGCTTAGACCGTTTGTGGCACTGTAACGATTCTAGACTGATGATTCATTTAAGTCCACCTCCCAGCCCTGCCTGCTCTTCTACAAGGAGTTGGAGATAAATGTGTTGAGCAGGCAACCACGCAGCCCTTTGGCTGGGAAATGCATGATCAGTCATAGCAACCAGGAGAGTAGAAGGTGGCCCAAATAATAAGAGGGCCATCAAGGTAGAGTTGTTGGAAGGGTTGGACCTGGAATGAGGAGACTTGGGGTTCAATCACTGTAGCTACAGAAGTCCTCAAGCGACTAAGGGTCTTCTGTTTTGGTCCAACTAAATCCTACATGGGGATGTTGTAGGAAAGCTTTGGAAGACATGAGATGTCTCATTCAATAGTGGCATGAGGAAGCAGGGCAGCAGGTGATCTTCAGAAGGTAGGCTGGTGTGAGTATGAAGATGCTGATCTAGCCCCGACGACACCTGGACTTTCTTTCTCCCTCATTGTGGAAGTTCTCGTCACACACTTTCAGGTCAGCTTAGATCCCAGGGTTGTTCCTTAGAAAAAGAGGAGGGGGTTTCTACTCTCTCTTTTGCTGCTCAAGGAAGGGTAGATTACAAACCAATAAACCAACCCTAGATGATATTTCTCCAGGTGATAGCATTGGAATTTCATTTCTTACACCATTTATGCATGGTGCCATCCTATTAGAGGTCAATGAATCCCAGGTGTGAGACTATGAATGATGACCATCAAATTGGTGTCTGAGAATTTGGGCCTTGACATGGTTTGTCCAATCTTGGGCGCCCTGGCTACTTCTCTAGAGCTTCATCTGGGATGTCTTCCTCTGAGAATATTCCAGATTGAGCCAGAGACTTCATAAGAAGAAGCCCTTTTCTTCTCTCCATTTCCAAGAGTTGTCTCAAAGGTTCTTCTTTTTTTTTTTCAGGAGGCACCTGAACCTCCTTGTTTTTCTCTGAAGGCGTTTTGCTTCTTCATCCAAGAAGCTTCTTCAGCTCTGACTTGGATGGTGGGGAGCTGAAGGAATGAGAAGTGAAAGGTCTTCAAAAGGAAAACCAGGAAGTCCAATTGCCTCCTGGAAGAAGAAAACCTTTGGGACAACCATGACTTGGATGACGGAATATCTCCCTAGACTTTCCAAGAGTTATAAATTCCCCCGTAGATGGAATCCTGTGGTGCTGAGGGAGATAATCCCAGTTCTTTCACCTGAAAAGATCTTCTC